CTCAGCTGCTTAGGGTTCATCTGAAGAGGGAATCTGAATGGGAAGAATTGCATGTTTCCTGCTCTCCCTCCATGAAATGACTTTTTGAGTGCACTCCTGACTGTATGTGTCATTGGGTGACTCTGCCCCATTTACTGCCACGCTATCATGATAGAACCTGTCATCAGAGAGGAGTTGGTGTAGACATCATCTATCTGTCCTGATACTGTGTGTTTCCATGTGTGTGTGATTACATTTAGGGGGCATCTCAAGAATGGCAATGGCTATTGTGTAATGGAATCCAGAGCCTGTCACTTTGGACAGCCACGCCTGGAGCAGGACTCTCCTCTGGCACTGGACTGAGTCATGCCTCAGTTCCATGACATGGTGCCTGCTCCAAGCCCCCTCTGATCCTGAGGACCCTGCCCCCAAGGCTCCTGCTTATTCCTCAAAACATCACTGCTACTTACTTGAACCTAATCATTCTGGTTTTTAGATTTAACCAGTGACTTAAAACCGGAGGGGAGTTTTAGGCAGGGATTAGGGATACATGATCCAGGGAGGTGAACAATCAGCCACAGTGTTGGGAAACAGCTGGTTATTAATATTTAAAATGCCAGGAGTGAAAGAAGATGTAAGAGCATCTGGTACAGCCATTCTATTTTTCAAGTAAAAAAATGATATCAAAACGTTAATTAGAGGAACCCAGAATTCATCTTTTTTTTGCATCACACATGACACACCGAAGCCTGCTAAGAGAGCTTTTCTGTCTTCAAAAGCCTCTTATATGTGACTTTAATCCACCCTTATACCTTCCTGTGTAGAGTGGACATTTTCAAGAAAGTCCACGAAATGTAAGTGGCATTTGGGCGCCTGAAGAAGCACTCCTTGATGCATCTTATTCTGAGCTGATTGTTGCTGCTGACTGAAGAGGCGCCCTGGAAGAAGAAAGATTCATCCTTGTCCTAATGACAGCTGACGGCAGAAAGTAAAAGCAGAGGATCACTTATTTTCCTTCAGCTCTTGCCTCTCTTCCACTTACTCTCTCCAGTCCAGCCACAGTGTCCCTAGATCATGCCAGGCAAGCTCTGGCCTTAGAGCATTTACATCCGATATCCTCTTGACCTGGAACTGTTTCCACAGAGAACCTGATAGCTAACTTTTCAACCCTCAAATCTGTTCAAACATCACATTCTCAATGAGGGCACACACACACACACCACCACCACCACCACCACCACCACCACCACAACAACAACAACAACAACAACAACCACCACCATCACCACCACCACTTTGGTGCTCTCAATTGCTTACATGGGTATTCCTTTTGTTCATGCATTTAAATAATTTGCATATTCATCACATTTCTTTATTGTTTATTTTAACCCTCCCCTATAATATGTGAACTCCACAAGGTCATAGATCTTTGTTATTGTTCATTGATATACCCCTAAGGGTCTAGAACTCTGCCTGACTTATTGTAGCCACTCAAGAATCAGGTGAATGAATGAATTAGAGGAGGTCCTTTGAGCGATAGTTGAGAATCCTCAAAAATTTCCATTGTCACCAGCATCTGTTGAAACTACAAGGTGAGCCAGGCCTCCAGTGCTGAGCACATATTCCAGTGGGGAGATTCCAGGGTATGTCATCACCTGACACTCCCTGACTTGTCCTTTTAGGTGACTTGAGAAGTAACTAATCCTGCTCGATCTTAGGAAGGCCGCAATCTCCCATGTAGCTGAGCCTGAGTTCTTGAGATTCATGTCTATTTTGAAGCGATCAGATTGTGGTTCGCATTTGAAAAAAAAATTTTGTGTGTGTGCTTTTTCTCATGTGGTGAGAAGATGTAGAACTCTTTGTCTGGAGATGAAGGCCGAAGTATTTGTCCATAACCTCCTATCACTCCCGTTCACAACCACCATTTGTCCAGTCTGACTCCATGTGCATTAACTCTCCCTGGATTATGTACTCAACAGTGCATTGTTCTATGGGTGCCCTGCACTTTAGCATCATAGAAGACTTAGATCAGGAAGGGACAGGAGGATCTTGCACAAATCCCATTCGAGCCTACATTCGAGGGCCACATGGCAGTGTGTGGATACAAAGTAGGGCAGAGAGAATTTGTAGAGATGCCCAAAAGGTGTCTAGTACAGTTAACCAGTAAGACTAAGAAAGATCAGGCTTTGGAATAAGAACATTAGCAGCATCCAGACAAAGGCATTAGTGTGAAAGTCATTGGGGAGATGCTAGCTGCAATCAGAAGCCATATGGCTGCCAGAAAATTCATTAGCTAATTCAGCACTGCTGGTGAAGAAGTTGAGCTTCCATGTATAGTATAAAAAGGTGTGGTATCCAACTATTGGCTGTACTTTAGACAAAAGTGAAGTAGGGTAAAGAAGAAATTCAGGTGCTAGAAAGGAAAAGATGTTGTCTGAGGGAAAGGATACACAAGTCAGATAGGTGTATCAGGTCACTGACTCTTGCTGAACCATTACTCCTATTCTCAGCTCATACCGTGTGGCTTGTGACAAGGGAGTGTTTCTTTTATAAGAAATATCCTAGTGCCCTGGCTGGTGAGACTTAGTTGGTTGAGCATTGTCCCATGCACCAGAAGGTCGCTGGTTCAATTTCTCATCAGGGCGCACGCCCAGGTTGCAAGTTCCATCCCCAGTAGGGGGTTGCAGAAAGCAGCCAATTGATGTTTCTCTTCCTCTCCCTTCCTCTTTGGCTCTCAAATCAATAAAAATATTTTTTTTAAAAAGAAAAGAAACTTTCTAGCTGTTCTCAAAGCAGCCTCTTGGTATCTCATAAACGTAATGACATTCATTCACCCACCTATTCTATTATTGTCAATCTATCAAGTACCTTGTGGGAATGAAGAATAGAATAATCACTAGGAGATGAGTGGGAAGCGCTCCTGGTGATGGCTGGCTGGTCCTGGGCTCCAGTTCAGGGGAGGTGACACAGCTGTGGAGCCAGCAGCTACTCCACAAAATATAGGTGAGCAAAGGTAAGGAAGAAGGGACCACACAAGCACCTGGGTTTGAAGAATGATTTGGATTTTCCAAATACCCCAGCTTGTTACAGATTGTGTATGAAAGGCAGGCCTGGATTAGTGACCTCACTTTCATTTTATCTTAAGCAGAGCGGACTCTGATATAAAGGGTCAAGGGATCACAGGTCCCATGTTCCTGTGTTGCTTCCAGAGAGGGGTCCTCATGGGAGGCAGCATCTTCAGGGTCCACTGGCACATTAGACAGATCAAGTGGATGGGTAAAAGGACCAGGTTTCTCTGAGGCTGCTGAACCTGACTGTCTTCTCCAGGTTTTCACCAATCAGCATCCCCATCACTGATCGGGGTCCCCATACCCCTGCCGGCTATTGACGCTGAGGTCTCTCTTGGAGTGAAGGAATTTTAGGGCCAAAAGAATCATTTGAGCCTTGCCTTTCCCCTCGCAGACCTGGGTACACTTAGGAATGGGTAAAGAGAATTATTACTTTTTTCCACCTGGGGAAGTTCATGGCACCATGCCCTTGGCCTCCCAGGAGAACCAGGAACAACTGCTTATCTCCACATCCACTTCCAATACTAAGCAGTTCAATAAGCCTGGACTGCGCCAGGGATTAGGGCCTCCAGGAAACAGGGATGTTTCTGGATCCGGCAGCCCTAGAACTTCTCCCTCTTCTTGCCTTTCAGCCCACATCACCCCCACTGTAAACATTCCACGTGGGTGTAAAGGACCCTCCGTGGGGACAAGGCCCAGGTGACATCATTGCCAGACAGCAAGTGCCAAAAAAATGTCAAGTGGGTGGTTTCATCACAAAGACTGAACCAACAGGTAGATGAGGGGACTGGGGTGAATCATGTTTGACAGGCAAAGGATTAAGACATAGCAGTCCAAAAAAAAAAAAATCCCACTTCCTTGAGACAGGTTTCCATCTATAAAAAGCCAGTTGGCTGGGGACACTACACCAGACCCGAGTGACCACGCAGCCTGCTCTTCTCTGCGCACCAGGTGGCTCTCCTTCCTCCGAACGCTTGCCAATTGCTCAAGGTATTTTCTTTTTTGTTGGAACCTCCTTGGCACTATTGAAGTTCTGTTATCAGAGGTACAGCCTCTAGGAATAGCTTTGTTGTAAATGCAATCATAGTTTTCGCTTGAAGAGACTTACTAGTAAGATGTTATCAATGCTGCCCCATCAGCTCTTGCTGTGACAGAGAGAAGAGGATTGGCTTGTGTGGGACCCTCCATTAGCAGGATAAACCCTGCTAACTTAGAGTTGGTAGAACTTATAGTGACATTATACCTCTTTCTTTATTCATAACCTGAATGCGGAGAATTTTATTCTTTCACCAAAGTGTTTTATGAGAATTTATTATGTTGGTACTTTGCTAAAAAAAAAACACCAATTTAGACAACAGAGAATTTATTCCATGAAACTACGGCGTATACAGGAAAATAAGACATGGGCAGCAGAAAGTCAATGTAGAAAGTCACCCGCATAAAGCAATAAGGACAAGCAAAGTGCTGTGCAGTTTGGGAAAGAGAAGGCTTGCTCTAGAAATGCCTCCCAAGGTATCGGATGAGGATCATAGAGGCCACCTGTGACCCATGGTGTTCAGGTAGTACTTGAACGAGCAGATTGAAGGAAGCTCGTGAGAAAGAGTAGGGTGTGAGTGAGGCTAGAGGGGGATCAAGTGGGTTCTGGAGAAGTCAGTAATTAGCTTATAGGTGATAAACTATTCTGTTTTCAGAAATGTTAGGCTGAAGTTACTGGGTTGCTATTTTTTTTTGTGTGTGTGTGTGTTTTTTTCTTTCAAACCATATCACATTTCCATGTGATCCAATATTGTGCTCTCATATTTCTGCTAGGAACCTGCGGCTGTGTTGCGTTGCTAATTGGGTTTTAAGTTGTGCCAGGAAGAAAGAGAGCACTGGGAGAGGCCCTGAGTGGAGCTGAACAAATTACCTTTCGGTTCCCCCTGTTCAAAGGTTCAGAAATCACCAGGGTGTTCTTAGTCATAAACGAAGGAAGGGGAACATTTGCTTCTTAGGAGACCTGAACTGGCATTGAGTGTGGCTCCTCCCCTAGCTAGTCCCTGTTTAAATGATCTGTTCTGTCTCTAGGTCCAGCCTCTTGTGAACCATGAGTTCCTACCAGCAGAAGCAGCCCTGCACCACACCCCCCCAGCTTCAGCAACAGCAGGTGAAACAGCCCTGCCAGCCTCCACCCCAGGAACAATGTGTTCCCCAAACCAAGGAGCCATGCCACCCTAAGGCTCCTGAGCCATGCCACCCTAAGGCTCCTGAGCCATGCCACCCTAAGGCTCCTGAGCCATGCCACACCAAGGTTCCTGAGCCATGCCACCCCAAAGTTCCTGAGCCATGCCAAACCAAGGATCCTGAGCCATGCCACCCCAAGGTTCCTGAGCCATGCCACCCTAAGGCTCCTGAGCCATGCCAAACCAAGGATCCTGAGCCCTGCCAACCCAAGGTTCTTGAGCCCTGCCACACCAAGATTCCTGAGCCATGCCAAACCAAGGTTCCTGAGCCATGCCACCCCAAGGTTCCTGAGCCATGCCACACCAAGGTTCCTGAGCCATGCCAAACCAAGGATCCTGAGCCATGCCACACCAAGGCTCCTGAGCCATGCCAAATCAAGGATCCTGAGCCCTGCCACACCAAGCTGCCAGAGCCATGCCAAACCAAGGTTCCTGAACCATGCCACCCCAAGGTTCCTGAACCATGCCACCCCAAGGTTCCTGAGCCATGCCACACCAAGGTTCCTGAACCATGCCACCCCAAGGTTCCTGAGCCATGTCCCTCAACGGTCATCCCGGGACCAATTCAGCAGACCAAGCAGAAGTAATGTGGTCCTTGATGCTGAATCCCCTCGCCCATTCTGCTTGAGTGCCATTTTCCTTGTAATCAGCATGCTGTTACCCTGAGTTACAATCCTCCCTCAGTTGCCCCCTAAAAATATGTGCTATGAAGCCTTCCTTCCCAAACACTCCGGGCCTCTGAGCTTCTGAATGAGGCTGAGAGTCTAGATACCTTAGAACCCTAGTTTCAGCTCAGGATTCATCTGAAGAGGGACTTAAGGTGCAAATATGTGGATCAGTTCTGTTCTGCCCCCATTAAATGCACTTTCCATTTCACTCCTGACTGTGTGTGTCGTGATCTGACTCATTGTCTTTATTCCTTTCCCTTGTGAAATAGGACCTGTTCCCAGACAGGTTGGTGAGGAAGGGCATCTTTCAGAGTCTTTGGGTCCCGGTAGTAGGTGGGTGGCGGGTCCCCCCCTCCCCCTTACCCCACCGCTGACTTTTCTTGGGCTGGCATTGGGAGGTTGTGTAATGCCACCCAGAGGCTGTTCCTTGGGCATCCATGGCTGGAGCAGGGCTCTCCTCCTGCGACTCAGTGAGTCACGCTGGAGTCTAGTTAGTGCCTGTCCGCACTGACTCTGACTCTCTAACCCTGAGTGCCCTGTCCCTACACCTGGCTTTCAGATTGCTCACTCATCTAGCCAATTCCTGTTCATTTCAAAGGATATTGTTCCTACAGATGTGAATCTGCTCCTCCTCGCTCATTTCTTTCTGATACCTGTGACTCTGTTCCTCAAACATCCACAAGGACTCGCAGCCTCCACATTTATCTCAATCAATCCTCTCCCATTCGCTGAGTGCCCACTCTGCCAGGAAGGGAATGAGGATCTTTAGGGCATTTCCAGTCATCTAGAGGGATGTACTTCTCTCCCCACCCAACCCCTCACACAAACACACATACACACCCATGCAAGCTAGATTGGAAGTTTCCCAGAGTAACACACCAAAGCTGATCTACTGCATCCTCAGGATGCAAACTGTTTACTTCACACACGGTGTGGCAGGAACCGCGGGCAGTGAGGACTGGAAAGCCCACCACTCCATCTTCCTAGAATATAACAATGTTTACAGAGGAATGAAGCATGATAGAATTGTCAGCCATCCATTCATATATATGTGTACATATTCATATTATATCAAAAATATGTTTCTTTTTATATTCCTGGGATGGAAAACACAGAAAATTTTCCTGCAGAAGTATAGTGCAGTCACTGTGGAGAACAGTATGGAGTTTCCTCAAAAAACTAAAAATGGAACTCCCATTTGACCCAGTGATCCCACTTATAGGAATATATCCCAAGAAACTAGAAACACCAATTAGAAAGGATATATGCACCCCTATGTTCATAGCAGCACAATTCACCATAACTAAGATTTGGAAACAGCCTAGGTGCCCATCAGTAGATGAGTGGATTAGAAAACTGTGGTACAGCTACACAATGGAATACTATGCTGTGGTAAAAAAGAAGGAGTTCTTACCATTTGCAACAGCATGGATGGAACTGGAGAGCATTATGCTAAGTGAAATAAGCCAGTCAGAGAAAGATAAATATCACATGATCTCACTCATTTATGGAATATAATGAACAACATAAACTGATGAACAAAAACAGATATAGAGACAGAGAAATATCAATCAGACCATCAAACCTCAGGGGGAAGGTAGAGGAGGGTGGAGGTAAGGGGGAGAGATCAACCAAAGGACTTGTATGCATGGATATAGGCCTAACCAATGGACACAGACAACAGGCGTGTGAGGGCATGAGTGGGGCAGATGGGGGGTAATGTGGGGATAAGGACACATATGTAATAACTTAATCAATAAAAAAATTAAAAAAGAGATATATTTTCCCTTAGGTTGTAAAATGAAATAATGAAAAAATCATGAGCATTTGGTATAACACAAACAATTGTGCTGGTTTTGATCATCATGTTTTTACCTGACCACATTCTTTAAAAACTAATTGAAAAACATTCATCCTAAAAGTTTTATTAATCTGTCTTCTTTTTTAAAATATATATTTTATTGATTTTTTTACAGAGAGGAAGGGAGAGGGATAGAGAGTTAGAAACATCGATCAGCTGCCTCCTGCACACCCCCTACCAAGGTACATGCCCTTGACCGGAATCAAACCTGGGACCCTTCAGTCCGCAGGCTGACGCTCTACCCACTGAGCCAAACCAGTTAGGGCTAATCTGTCTTCTTGTTTCATCAGTAGGTAAGGTCTACTATCATATCAGAGTAAACAGTGCCACCTAGCATCAAAATAAAGTAGTCAAACAAACAAACAAACAAAGTGTTCTAATCATATAATTTATTAGTCAGCACAGGTTAGCTGCTATAACAAACACCCCCTAAATTGTTGTGGCTCAGTCCAGTAGAAGTAATTTCTTACTTGTGTCCAAGTCTAACGTGGTTTGGGAAGGTTTTTGCTCCATGCAGTCATAAAGGAATCCAGGCTCCTTTCCTCAAATGACCTCACCATGACTGAGTGCCTTATCTTCCTCTGAATTCATTCAATCTTTTTTATTTCTGTAAGATCAGTAGTGATGTCTCCTCTCTGCTAATTTCAGTAACTTGAGTCTTTTCTCTTTTTGGTCAGTCTAGCTATAGAATTGTCAGTTTTATTGATCTTTTCAGAGAACCAACTTTTAGTTTATTAATTCCTTATTTTTCTACTCTTTATTATTTCTACTCTAGTCTTTATTATTCCCATCTTTATCTTTACTTGGGGTATAGTTTGACTTAAAGTTCTATAAGGTTATTGAGTTGAGATTTTTCTTCTTTTGTAATATAGATGTCTCCAGACTTAAATTTTTCTACGTGCACTGTTTTTACTTGTGTCTTATGAGTTTAGTGGGCTCTGTTTTTATTTTTTTTCTCCCAAAGCATTTTCTGATTTTCCTTATTATTTCTTCATGACCCATTGGTTATTGAGGAGGGTGGTGTCAAGTCATAGAACTCAGAAGTAGAGAGGAGAATAAATGTTACTGGGCTGAGGGGTGGCAAATATATGGAGATATTGGTCATAGGGTAGAAACATTCAGTTAAAAGATGGATAAGCTCTGGGGGTATAACGTACAGTGTGGTGATCATTCCTAATAATACTGTGTTGTGTACTTGAAATATGCTAAGATGATCGATATTATGTGTTCTTAACACATACGCACAGATGGTAACTATGTGAGGCTATAGATATGTTAAAGTGATTATGATGATCATGTTGCTAAGTAAACATGATTATCTTATTTACTTTAAAATATACAATTTTATTTGTCAATGGGGGAAGATGGAAGAAAATAAGCATCATACAAAAGAGTAGCAAAGTATAAGAATTTCTGTATTCATTCTCCTCTTTGCCTTTATTAGGTTTGCCTTTATTCTGAGAGAATCCTTTATCCATTGTTCTCTGAGGGTCTTGTATATACCTCATGAAATTATCCTCTTAAGTGAGCTGCACTGCCCACACATGAAATGGGTAGTGTGGAAAGTAAGAAAGGAGGACCATAAAGTTGTTTGTATTCTTAAAATAGCAAAGTCATTTTAATCTAGGCTCATAGTTTACTTCATCAAAACCCTCAAGAACTGCCCTGGCTGGGCCCTGGCTTGGTGGCTTGGAGCATCATCCTGTAGACCAAAAGGGGAGCAGATTCCACTCCTGGTCAGAGCACATACCCAGGTTGAGGGTTCGATTCCCAGTTGGGGCATGTTCAGAAGGCAATCAATTGATGTTTCTCTCTCTCTCACTCTCTCCCTTTCTCTCGCTCTCTAAAATTATAAAAACATGTCCTTGGGCAAGGATTAAAAACTATATTTAAAGACAAAAAGCTACCCTATCTGGGTAGTTCAGTTGGTTGGAACATGGTTGCGGGTTTCATCTCCAGTCAGGGCTCTTACAGGAAGCAACCAGTGATTGCATGGATAGGTGGAACAGTGGAGCAATCTCTCTCTCTCTCTCTCTCTCTCTCTCTCTCTCTCTCTACTTCTCAGGGCATCTCTCAAAGTAGGTGTCAAAACGACATACTTCGATCTCTTTTCTGTGCTGTTATAGTAAGCAGAAAGTGAATTTAAAGTTTAACAGAAGAAAAAATATATAATTCCATCACAAACAAAATAATGCTTTATTCAGGAAATGGAAGAATAGGTACAGTTGTTCAGGTGGTAGGAGCCCTCTGCCCAGATCACAAGACACAGAAGCCATCGAGGGAACCCTCTGCTGCCCCCCACCACACCCCCCCCCGCCCCCCGCCCCGGAAGACAGCTGCTGCTCTTCCTTCTGAAGCTGGGGAACGGAAGGCTGGGGCAGGGGAGGACTGCCCTTTCTCAGCTTCCTTTCCTTCCAGAATAGACTCAGGAAGGAAATCATTCACTGTCAGGAATCGTCACAAGCATATCAGGCTGAAGGGTGGAGGAGCTTCTTCTGCATCCGTGATGGGCTCTGAAGAGAAGATGACGGAGGGGCTGGGGAACGAGGTGAGCCAGTTGTTCTTATTCTTCCCTGTCCCTGATGAATGCTGAAGCTGTTACTTGCTCTTGGGTGGGCACTTCTGCTGGCATGGTGGAGGAGGTTGCACAGGTGGGCATTGCTGCTGGCACAGCTGAGGTGGGCATGGCTCAGGGCACTTTGGTGGTGGGCATGGCTCAGGGCACTTTGGTGGTGGGCATGGCTCAGGGCACTTTGGGGGTGGGCATGGCTCAGGGCACTTTGGGGGTGGGCATGGCTCTGGGCACTTAGGTGGGCACACGGGAGGTGGCTGGCAGGGCTGCTTGCACTGCTGCTGCTGGTAAGACATCTTTCTGGAGTCTTAAAACCTGAATGAAAGTACATGACAGTGATCACAAGAAGGCATTCCTAAAGAGAGAGGACCCAACACTTAGATAACACCATGAGATTTGTCTCTCCAATCTCCAAGAATGTGCTTTTATCTCTTAAGTTCACTTGGAGACTCTCTGGCTTTTCCCTTCATCTTTATAAAATTGTTCCATCAGCCCTGAGAAAGATTTGTCTTTCCGCTTACCATTTTTCCAAAGAAAATATTGCTGAAAGAATAAAGTCATATGTTTTGTATGAAAATAACAACTTCATGAAAGCCCATCACAAGTTCTAATATCATGGGCAACCTCACGAGCAATTTCTCTCATCATTATCTCTTGTGAGGTCCCAATAGGCTGATGCAGGCACACAACAAAGGGCTGTTCGGGAACAAGGCAAAGAGCCTTTGAATTCACACCAGAATGGAAGGGACACCAAAATATACATATTAAAACAACA